TTTATTTAATCCAAGACTGCTAATATCTCATGGGGATATAAGACTCTGGGGAAGAGATTCTTGGCTCCTGTTTAATAACCCTGCAAGCCAAAGTCTTAACAGATAGGGGCGTGTGTGACAATTGCGTCTGGGGCACAAAGTAAAATGAAATCAGTGTTTCAAACAGCTCGCTACATTTTATTTAATAAAAATAAAACTCCCTTAGCTCCATCAAACATGCCCTTCCAGTGTGTAGGTTGTGCAATTGTAGTATAGCTTCTTTTAAAACTGTCTGTCAAAGAGACCAGCGCCCCAGGAATCCAACATTATCCTGCGCAATGAACTCACTAATGGTCCTTGAAAGATTGCCTCATACTGTGTACTGCAAATGGCCATATTTTTTCTATAATCAGATCTGGGTTAATATATACAGCGCATGTTATTTGGACACCTTATTAATAAATTATTGCTAACCTTTCATTTCTAACTTTAATTATTCCTTTGTGTTTCAACCACATCCAAGTGAAATCCACTATTAGGTATACAACACTGAGAGAATTTACTGCAATGCAGGGTTTTCACTTGACATTAACAATAACAATCAATTACATTTGTATAGCACCTTTCAGGACCTTTTGGGCAGGAGGTGGACGGTCTCTCTCTAGACTGACTTGAATGAGATCTCTTCACCTTGAGCTGCCAACTCGTAATACCAAACAAGTAAAATCAGGATCCTGGTATCCTCGCACCATGAGGACAACTGAAAGTTTTTGCCAAATGTCCTGCGGATGTAAAAAACAAAGAGCCACAGGTTGGAATCTCAGCCAGAGAAGCAGTTGTTGGCTGCAATTGGTGGCAGTGCCCCTGAGTTCACAAGATCATGAGATTGTTATTGTTAATGTTATTGGTTTTGGATGAAGAAAGCCTTTCAATCTATTTCATCTCACCTTTCCAAGATACCTATCTAACCGTCTTCCTACAACAGCATCAGACAGATTTTCAAGTGAGTCCAGTGACCCAGCCTCAAACACCTTCCCTGGCAGCCTGCTTCAGTCTTAATTATCCTCTGGGTAAAGAAAAACTTCCTGGTGTCTGTGTTAATGAAAATGTGTTAAATAATGTGATAAAAGTATGCTGAGTCCATCTCTTGATCATTACCTAGAGCTGCCCCCACCCCGACACACACACGCATCACAAAAGGTGTGCATGCGTGCCTGTGTGTGTGAATGTTGGCAAGGACAATATCAAGCCTTGCTGTGATCACAGTCATATAAAGGTTTTGCCTGAGGCAATTTGGTGGGAACCAGAGTACCCTCTAGTGGCTCCTGGATGTCTGTAATTTTTAGAGCTCTGCCATACAGAGGTCATCTTAACAAACAGTTTAACATAGGGAATAACAAATTTCTAAAGTACGCATTTATTACTGGCTTGGACATTGTTATTATCTTGTTAAAAGCAAGTCTGGTTATAATGAATAGCTTTGTTTGCCTTGAATTATTGAATATAACAGGCATTTAAAGTGTTTCAGTCATACTCACACAATCTATATGTAGATGAAAAATGAAAAATTAAAGCTATCAATTAAATATCTTGTGACATTTTAGTTTCCAATATTTTACATTAAATGATAAATATTCTGCACCCTACTCACGCATTTAATCACAGAGCTAATATTCACTCTGTAATATAATATAAATCAGTAACGTTCATCAATACAGTTAATCCCTGTTAAGGGTTTGATCGCTACCATTATTTGGTAGTTGAGGGGTATTTCAAAGCATAGTTTAATGATGTTCTTTAAATAACGGAAGGAAAGTTTTTAATACTACGGAATTTTGATCTCTTTATTACTACTAACATTAAAGATGCAGCCACTTTGTTCAGTGTTTTTTGCCTTGTTATTTCTGTACCATCAGCTTATAATTGCCCTGGGGAAAGCACCCTGCTTATTACACTTCTATGCATTAACTGAATTTTATCATGGATGAAAGACATTTGTTTTTCACTGGTGGAAACTGCACTGATCAAAACCCCACCAAAATCTGGAGGTCAGTTCATTATATGCTCTGTGTTTGCTATCATTTGAATCAAAATCTTTGAACTAACCAGCAATGTTATATTAATTATTGTTAGTTTCAACTTAGCTTTGATAATGCGCTGTTCAGTGTGTCAATTGGCACATATGCACAAGCAACCTGGGTGACAATTCAAGATAACACCAAGTATTTCTGTGTGTTCAAAGTGTATCATTTAATTTGCTCAGTATTCTCAGCTTCAATCCTGCATTGCAGGAGACAATTTGCTTTTCCACTTCTGCAGCAGCTTCTCACTAAACAGATAAAGCAGGTGGTATTTTAACATGATGCACCATATGCAGCACCACTTTTAATTCTGGTTCAGCTGTTTTGCAGTGTTAATATATGCCTCATCTGGGATGCACTGTAACACTGCAAATTATTATTCATTGCTTTTGTGGCTCAGTCTCCTGCTTCCTATCTGCTTGACTGCATTCTACATCACGCACAGATCAAGTGCTTTTGTGATCAAAGTTGGTATGGATTATGTTGGATCAATCTATGTTGGTATGGATTATTCAATGCACTATGTCACTTGTCACACCAATAAGTATTAGTCTGCTCTATTAATTGTTTCCTTTTTACTTTCAATTTTGTCTGGAATTTCACTGTTGCTCTGCTCATACAGGAGAGAGATGTCAAAGGGCAGCACGCAAAGTAGAAATTGGTTACAGTGCTAATTAAAATATTGTCCTATCGGGATTGATACTGTCACTGTAGTACGGCACTGTGCTTTTCACTCTTTCTCTTTGCCACTCTCTGCCTTTCTCACTTTATCTGAATCTCTCTGACTTTATCTGTTTCTGACCACAGCCCTACACTGTAAAGAGTACTGTACAATACCTACTATACCTTCCAAAACATATCTTGTGAGACTGAACTAAGCACTATGGGGCAGAATCCTGTTTTGCACATGTACAAAGTTGCACGCATACATGTTATTTCTAAAAAGCCACCAGAGCAACTAGATAGGGTTCTTAACAAATGCTTGCATGAGTAAAAACTTTGAACCATGTGCAGAACAGCTCATTTTATGCCTGTGCCCAGCCCCATATCCACATCCACTTTCAATTCAGAAAACATTGTAATTAAACCGTTAAATAATTGACGTGCAGATAAACAAATTCTACTGTACTTACTTTCTTCATCCTACCAATAAAACTTAAATGTCTCATTCTCCCATACACAAAAAGCATCAGGAGTTTCCGGTGGAAGTTTTTTTCTTCTTTATTCAGCGATATTTTGACAATGTTTCATGACATAATGATCTAATATGTTTGCCTAATGTATCATAAAATAATAGAATATTACAGCGCAGGAGGTCATTTGACCATTTGAGTAGCAAGAGCTACTCAATCAGTCCCATTGCCCCGCTCTTTACCCATATCCTTGCAATTTTTTCCTCTTTAAGTATCTATCCAATTCCCTTTTGAAAATTGTTATTGAATCTGCTTCCAATGCCCTTCCAGGCAGTACATTCCAGACCATAACAAATCTCTGTGTAAAATAATTTCTCCTCATCTCCCCTGATATACTGGGATCATATTTTGCAATATTTCTACATGTTCCTCTTGAAGCCTGCTGTATAATTCAGCAACGGCTAATTATCTGGACTTGCATCTGTACATCTATGTTATATTCAAAACTGGTCTCAATGTTGAAAGAATGGTATGTAAATGAGAAAATGCATCAAATATTTAGAATTCACATCTCTATCTAAAAATATATATTGTTTGAAAATATTTATTTATAAATATAATATTAGTCTTTTCTGATGGCCTGGAAAACTTGTGTGTGTGTGTGTGTGTGTGCGCGCACATGTACCGTGAAATGAATGACCTTTTCTATCAGGGGGATTGTTGGCCAGGACACTAGAGAAATCCCTTCTCCTTTCGTGGGATCTTTAATGTCCATGGGAACCTCTTTTTAACATCTCATCCAAAGGATGGCACCTCTAGCAATTCAGAACACAGTGAAATGTCGAGCACTGCATTGAAATGTCAGTCGAGATTGTGAATTCAAATTTCCGATGTGGGGCTTGAACTCCAGCTTTCTGACTCAAAGGCAAGAGTGTTACTAACTTTGCCAGGCTCACAACTAAAATCAATACATTCATGTTAGATATTTCCAACAAATTGGCATGACAGACTTCTGGAGGTAAACATTCCAACAAAACAAGAGACCATTCAGCCTGTACCACTAATACCTGTGTTACAGCCATTAAATTACCTTTTTTTATTAATCCAATTTCCAACTCTTTCTCCTTATTCCCTATAGTTTTCCTGCAAAGGTGGTTATCCAGTTCCTTTTGGAATTATTCCATTGACACAGTTTTTATAGCCACTTGTGGCAATGAAATCCAAACATAATCAACCCACTGAGGGAAGACATTTCTTCTTATCTTTTAAGTTCGCCAGGTATTTCTTAATTCAGTAACCCCCAAATTGATCCTATTTTTGGTTAGATGCCTGTCACATGTGGAAACCTAATCTCACCAAACCAGACTGAGAGCTCCACATAGGTCTGTCACCTTCGCTGGAAATTTCCCATGTCTGGAATGGAACACAGCCTCTCTCCCTAGAAAGGACACACTTTGTTCCGGAGGATATCATTCACTGTCAGTTCATTGGTGTGGCCCACTGACAACCAGCTCTGAAGAAAATATAAAACATAAAGTTCCAGAGGATTTTAGGCACCGTATTTTGACAAGGGTCAAGCCTTGGAGACCAAGAGTGTGCATTGGGTTACTTCTGGAGTCTAACCAGCTAAAACTGCAGAGATTGCCATTCATCCTACTATTAATTCCAGAAGTACAAACTTGAAATGGCACAAACTCACACAGGGAGTTATAAAGTTCTAATCCATTTTTTCAGATGGTGCAAATATTGGATTGCATTTTTAACCCAGCATTGCTTTTTACAGACCACTCTCTTCTTTGGTTACCAGGAGGGACCTTATGTCATGCTAAAGAAAAACCATGACACTATGGAAGGTAATGACAGGTATGAAGGCTATTGCGTGGACCTGGCTTCAGAAATCGCCAAGCACATTGGTATCAAATATGAACTTAAAATTGTTCCAGACGGGAAATATGGAGCGAGGGATCCAGAAACCAAAATCTGGAACGGAATGGTGGGAGAGCTCGTTTATGGGGTAAGCCGTCTTTAGAACAGTAACTAAGAATAAAATGTTTTGATCTCTTAAGAGAACTGATTGTGCACATTGTATAGATCCTATTACTTTGCATTCACACCACAACATTGAACAGGATTAGAAGTGAATATAAGGAAGTAGCTTTTTTTTGCATCTAATTCTCTCTGCAATTACCCATGGTTGAGTCTTTGTTTTCTTGCAGTTTGTGTTAATATTCTTAATTATTGAATGCTTCAGGAGATGTTGTAGACATCAAAATATGTGAGGACAAGAATGGAGGTAAGTGCTGCACTGAATGTCAATGTAAATGGCACCTGACTCTTGGATGTGAAACAAATGACTTTAGCCATCGAGCTGACCCAGATATCACCATTAAATTTCAGTAATGCCAATTGTAAGTGGCTCTGTTCGAGGCACAAATCCCATACAAAGCGATTTGAAATTGAATGTTTACAGTGACAAAAAAGAGATTGGTGTAGAATTAAGACTGGCCTGTATTGCATGGAGTGTTCCTGTCAAGTTGCAGCCACATGCTTTTAGTTGCTCATTCCAGTTCCTGGTAGATTTAATGTCAGTGTTCAACAGAGTTGAAACCTTCTGACATACCCTTCTGGATTTGTTTGAGAGGCCATCTATAATTGTTGATTTTTTATCTCAGGGGCCAATGATTTATTTTATTAAGTCTATCCCTTTTCAGAAGCTCAGTGTGAAAAGGGCACACAATAACAACATAGTATTGGAGCAGCAACATACATATTTGCCCGCTCAGTGAACTCCTCATGGCAACTGTTGTTTACAGTGAACCATGATACAAAAATACATAATAATATTAATCATACTCTATGAATTTGGTATAATTATCACTGCCACTGAGACTTATTAAAACTATTCGGAAAATGACTTGTCAAAATATCTGGTGAACAAAATATCAACCTCCTGTAAAAAGTAGCTATTTTACCAAGTTCAAACATACCAAGAAAAGTAATATTCATTCATATGTCACCTGGCAGTGTTAATGGTCTGGCTGACCCATCACTGAAAACACTTAGAAACTGCCTCTAAAGAGTGATTTGCATTGTAATAACATAATAACAATCCTTGCATTTCATATAGCTCCTTTGATATCGGGAAAACATCCCAAAGAACTTCACAGGGTTTACTGTGAATTGGAGTGACTGTTGTATTTGCAGGCAAATGTGGCAGCCCAGTTGCGCACAGCAAAGTCTTACACACAACCATGAAAAGAATGACCATTGTTAGCTCAGGGATTGTTGGCCACCCCTTGGTAGATGGAGATGGAATAAATACAGAAAGAACTTACCAAAAACAATTAAACATTAACAGAAATCCTAAAAATGTTTCATGGGATTTAAATCTCCTTCCCCAAAAAAAATATGTTGTTTCACTTGAGGAAAATTCTAAACGTTATGCACAGCCACTAAACTATTTCATACTAGGTCATTTAAATTGATTATAAAATCCTGGGAACATTTTAGCAATGGTTTCCTGTTAGTGTCCTGGGAGAGCCGTTTGAAGGACACGGGATAATGAGCCTGATCTCATATCCCAGACAGCTTGCTTTCTGTCTAATTAAACTGTATGTGTGAAAAGGTCTCGCAAAGTGTCTCACTGAGATATTCTGTGCAGTCACTGCTTTGCTCGGCTGTGCACCGGCAGGAACTGTTCCAGTTTAACCTCTCGAAGTACTCCCACTGAAAGCTGACAGACTGCACACCGCTCAAAATACTACGGGCTTCCTGACACCATGAGAGCAAATTATAAAGTTTGCGATCATGCTGCCATTATTCACACCCCTGCTATTTGAATACCACCAGCCACTTGTTTCAGTACAACAGAAACAGAGAAAATATTTAAAAAGTCTTAAGAATTGCATTGTACGCAGTAGTGACTGCAACAAAAATGACCGCGTGGGTTCATAAAGTACCTTTCGTGTAGGATAACGTCGCAGAGCATTTCCCAGTGGCGAGGGTAGACTCCTAGCAAGGGAGAACATCTTTTGCTCGCATGTTCCATTATTGCCATATTACGACCTGCTACTAATGGAGTTTCTAATCTGGATTCACAAGTGCTAGTGAGCTCAAATCAGTACCTTTCCCAGAGTTGCATCTGACTGCTTTCAAATTGCTCCCCAAATCAATCCCCAAGATACTGGGATAATTGCTATGGTTCATTTGAATGTAGCAGTACTGCAATGGGCAACACATGAAAGGTAGAGCTTAAAGTTCTTCAGACATTTTGTTTTATATCTTCTTCAGAGCTGGTTGTCAGTGGGCCCCACCAATGGTGATAGTGAATGATCAGCAGTTTAATCTTCCTGTTTGCATTTCTTGCAATATTTAAATTGTGACATTAAATTAAAGGCAAGAGACTAAGAATAAAGTGGATGTACCTCACACAGGTTTGGAAATTGCTTTCGTAGGGTTTGGTGTCATCTATCCGTGTGTGTGCTTATGAATGAGATATGCGTTTAAAAAGGATTTTCCCCCATTTCACAGAGAGCACAGATTGGGGTGGCACCTCTGACCATTACTTTAGTACGAGAAGAGGTCATCGACTTCTCCAAGCCCTTTATGAGCCTGGGTATTTCCATCATGATCAAGAAGCCACAGAAGTCCAAGCCTGGAGTCTTCTCTTTTCTTGACCCGCTGGCGTACGAGATTTGGATGTGCATCGTTTTCGCCTACATCGGAGTCAGCGTGGTCCTGTTCCTGGTCAGCAGATTTAGCCCCTACGAATGGCACACCGAAGAGCCAGAAGACGGTCAGGATTCTCCACCTAGCGACCAACCCCCTAATGAGTTTGGCATCTTTAACAGTCTTTGGTTTTCTCTGGGTGCCTTTATGCAACAAGGATGCGATATTTCGCCAAGGTTGGTCACTCATCTATTAACTCTCTGTATTTTATGGTCAATCCTGATGCCATGGTGCATATACGTTACCTTTTTCCCCTTCATTATAAGTATATCCTTTTATTTTTTAAAAAAAGTATCTGAATGCTTATATGAACAGTAAGCTTCCAAGAGAAACTGTTGTTTTTTTTATATAGATAAGTGAAATGTGTGGATGACCTCTGAACCGTCATTCACCCATTTCTGCACGTAACTTATATACACCATGCGTAGACCGTAAAATGCATAAAGTTATGCTGATTTTGTCCACTTGGAGGACTACCGTGTGTTTGCTGCATACCTCATTTTACGGTCGACAGTCCAGGTGTATATAAAATTTCGCTCCTTTCTGTCTGTCGCTCACTCTGAAAACAGAGCAAGCGAGCGAGCGAGCGAACGAATTCTAATGACTAATGTTTGTTGCCGAATGATTTTCCAGCGTTCAAAAATAGGAGCCTCATTCTGTACCAAGTGCAGTCCGTAAAAAGGAAATCTCTCGCACCCACATAAGTAACACAAGACAGATCCTGGCCGTGAAAACATTAACAGAAAATTTCACAGTGAAACCTCTACACTCGATTGCTGATTGATACGCCACAACCATGTTTAACTTATAGGACAGAATATTTCTACATAATCTTCCTGGCTGGCTTTCTTGAGCAATGGCTTAGTGCAAAATGTAAATGTTTTTAAATCATGCTTGAATAGTAATGACTCTCCTCAAAAGTTACAGGGCCTCATTCTAACTGAGCAGATACTAAGGCTTGACAAGTGGAAGAGCTCAATGGGTGAACCAGTATTTAATTTCACTGCCAACAAGAATCAGGCATTTTACACCTGAAATTATTTTGCAGGGCTATGGGGAGAGAGTGGGGAAGTGGGATTGATTTGGATAGCTCTTTTCAAAGAGCCAGCACAGATACGATGGGCCAAATGGCTTCCTTTTGTGCTGTATAATTTTATGATTCTATAATTCTATTTGTCCAGCCGGCACTGAAGGTGAGCATCCAACTGAAGGTGGTAAGAGTAGACTGGGTGGTTTTTGCACAAAGAAAAGTAAAATCTTGTTCTGGCTCTGAGATAAATACTTACTGCAGTTGGAGTCCTGCATCGCTGAGATTTACATCTTGGAATTTGAATAAAATCAATAATATAGAACTATTAGAAGTCAGGAATGGATAGTGTTTACCACTGATGTGGTCTCCTCTATCTATCAACGTCCTGTGAGTGTCCAGTGGGAATTCACATCCTTATGGTAACCAGGGATCACATGGCACTAATAACTGTTAGTTTTGTGTCAACACACAGTTAAGCTCTTAAATATTATCTCACTATATAAGACCAAGTACAGTACAAAGTTACCTTGATCTTTTAAAGTGACCAGTATAAGGGAGATCGGTAGCAGTAAAAGGTGATAATCGCTAATGTGGTGATGCTACGTACAAAAGATTGATGTATGTTAACTCCTGCAGTAAGTGGTTGGAGTTTAGACCACAAAAACGAGGTTCATGCAAGCACTTCGGACTCTTAATTTATGATGAGACTCAGCAGTCTGGACCCGTTTGCATTCCAAAGTGAATAAGAAGGGATATGATGCAGATTTTCAAATGTTGATAAGCGTGGATAATGTAAACAAGTTATTTATAACAACAACTTACATTCATATAGTGTCCTTCATACAGGTAATCTCTCAGAGCGCTTGCAACAGATCAGATGTAGAAAATAATTAAAAATTAAATTAAAAAGTCTCAACTAATACCAGAGATTAAAATATTTAAAATATTTCTCTACAAAACAGTCAATATGTGGAATAGACTTTCTGCAAAAGTCATTCTTTCAGGTAACTTCTTTAAAAATCAGTTGAATAAAGCTTTGGTTTGGAAATGGATATCTGTAGATAAAGATGAGCGAATATTCTCTGTAATATGAAAGTTTCTGTGTAGCTGGGAGGACGGATTAGTGAGAAGGGGGTACAGTTAGCCAGCGAGATAAATGTATTATGTAAAGTTGGATTAGCCTGAAGTTTCATTAGCTTTGAAAGGATATTTCACAGAGCATTACCCAATTGCTACTGCACTTTTCCAGTTCAACCTCCAAGCCAGTATGAAGCCCCAACACCCACAAAATTGTTTCATGGGAACTCCCTCCTACATATTCTGCTTTCAAAGCTGAATTCCTCAAGTCAGCATAACATGTGTGACATGCTGTAAACTTACCGGAGGAATACCTACTTGGATTCCTTAATAATGGAACCCCACTTGAATCATTGTGTTTTAGATAGGCTCAGGCTGAAAGTCAAACTGATCTTAGCCTGGAAGAGCATTTTGTCTTAAAATTTAAGATTGTGGAAAACTCTTAAATTCATTTTCATTTGGAAGCCAGATCTTTTCAAGAACTATGGAAAACTGGCTTTCCAAACCAAGGTTAACTGTAAGAATTAAGTAAGAATTTTCACAATTTTTTTCAATCTTAAATTTTAAGAACAAATGGTCTGGTGGTTATAATATCACATGCTTTTTTTTAGTAAATTAAAGTTAATTCCAATTCTAGGTGGAAGACTAGGTTTGGTTTGTGCCTTCAATTAACAATACAGTCTTTATAGTGATTCACAAAAAGTTTCACTCATGTGGTATTTATAAAGCAGACAATCCAAACCTAGTAAGACTCCAATAACAAAATTACATTTGTATAGCGCCTTTCAAGTCGGGAGATGTCCCAAGGCGCTGGACAATTAGTATTTCAGCATCGAGCTGGGGGTCGGGATTGGGGAGGGTGGAAGGCAGGAGGGGAAGGAGAGTGACCAAAGGCATGGTCAAAGAAGAGGATCTTGAGACAGGTCTTTAAGGAGGCAAGGGAGGGGACAAGGCGGAGGGACTGCGGAATGGAGTTCCGGAGGGTGGGAGCAGAGTGGCAGAATGCCCGCCCACCAATGGTGGGGCGGGCGAGGCAGGAGACATGAAGCAGGCTGAAGCCCGCTGAGCAGAGGGAACGGGGAGGTTGGTAGGTTGCAGAGGTAGGTGGGAGCAAATCCATGGAGGACTTTGAAGGTGAGGAACAGGATCTTGAGCTGTATCCTCTGCGTAATGGGAAGCCAATGGAACTGGGTGAGGATGGGTGTGATAGGGTCATGGAGCCTCGTGCGGGAGAGGGCACGAGCTGCAGATTCTGGAAGATTTGCAGAGGGAAAGGTTGGGAAGGCCGACAAGCAGGTAGTTAGCTTGGTCAAGCCTCGGTGTAATAAATGAGTGGATGAGGGTTTCGGCGGCCTGAGGGAAGAGGCAGTGGTGGAGCCGGGGATGTTGCGGAGTTTGGGGAAGGCAGAGCGGGTCATGGCAACAACAACAACAAAAACTTGCATTCATATAACGCCCTCCATGCTGGGCAGCGGCCCATAGAGGATATGGCTACCATTTTTTTAAAAGTGAAAAACACAATTTTAACACTTTTTCCAGATGGTACAAGATTAAGAGCTGCTGTTTCACATCTTACTGTTTCACCAGTTTTAATGCAGAAAATCAGCAGGAACCAACACCCTCAATAAACAAGATGGTCTTAGTGCTGATTTACAAGGAACTTCATTGACGTGGTATTTGGATCAGTTTAACTTACAAATAGTTGAGACAACCTTCCCAGGGGATTTTGCTTTACAAACTAGATAGTTGTGCAGAATGGGAATGAACATTAATTTACTGACATCCAGTATGTGATATTATCACATCAACCAAAGATGCAAACGATATTCATCACTAGCTGGGGGGTAATTATTTGATTGCTTTTTTGGTCGATGTGTTACTATTGGTGATAATATTACATGCTGCATTTTGCCCCCCAGAGTATTTTCTCTTCCATTTTTCCCACTCCCAACTTTTGCCCCCTTGCCCTCCATGTATAAAGGTGGTGGTTCATTTGAATATATTGTTCTAAAGCTGCTTAGTAATACGTACTGTGCTATGGTTAAACTTTCCTAGTAAATGTAAAGCTAAAACAGGAATTTGAACATTTCAAAAAGTTATTGAAAACACAGAAAAGAAACAAAAATTTAAAAACATGTACTTTCTCTCTCCCTGAATAAAAGGTAAAAGATTAATTTCCCATCGGGAAATACTGTGAATTATTATTGATCATTTTTATTTTATTCTATTGGTCTGAGAGGTGACTGTGGTTTATTTGTGCAGTGAGTCCGAGGGCATTTCATAGGCTGCTACTTAATGTTTATGTTTATTTGCTACTATGACCTTTTGTCCCAAAATAATTTTCACCTGAATTTAACTTTTAAAATCTTTTAAAAAGTTTAACATCCACCCCCCATCCCCCACAAACACACATCTGTTATTTTTCTCAGATTTTTCACAGAAAAATATTATTTTGTAAATGAAGACTTTAATCATCCTTAATTATGTAACATCGACAAAATAACCTCTCAAGTAAATGCTCATAAAGCTTAGACCTTCATTCTCAGTATCCCATTCCTTGAATCACTGATTTTGTATTCTATTGATTTTACGGAACGTTGGATTTCTGAGCCAGTGGAAGGCACGACATGTCATTAAAGTTAATGTGTATGTTATATTAGAATCAGTTAAATTCTAGCTAGTGACTCAGATGTAAGGTACCTCTCAGGGTTAGTGCAGGATAGGCCTTGCACTGCAGAACTGATAATCTGTTTACATTTGCTGTTCTGATACCGGCAGTGCCTTTGTCTTCTGTTTTGACAGCTAAGTATGAAGGAAATCATTGCAAAGGAGTGGTATACATTTATGCTTTTGTGCATTGTTAGCATTGAGTGGTCAGGTTTAACATGATCAGATATAAAATAATATTTTCTCTTCTCTGTACTAGCAAAATGCCTTAACCCAAACCTTTGTGCTGCACCAGTGTAATTTGTTTTTTACTCATTCCCGCATAAGCCATTATGATGGTTTCTCTGATGCCTTGTTATTTTTGGATCTTTGCACTAATGTAAGTGTGGAATACAGCTACTG